AGTTTATACATTTGAGTAAATAATTTTTCTTTTATCATATTTCTTCCTCTTATCAATATATTTTATTGTCAACTTTCATATAAATCTAGTCAAGCTCTTTTTTTGTGATTGTTGCTGTGATTGTTGCATTATATCATATATTGATAGGTATTGTTTTATGAGTAGTCTTTTACTGCATTATTGCCAACGGTATATTGTCGCTCTTAGATTTCTCATAAGATCATTTTTCCTAATTCTAAACGTTAAAATTTTATTTACTCGAATACATTTTTAATTCATATGTTCTTCAAATATTTATTTTCCGATTGTTTGTTTGGGATGTGAACCTTTCAATTGAGTCAATTTATGAATCAAAATCCAAATAGGTGAACAAATCATATGGAGGATTCTCAAAGCCTTACCACTTTTATTTATTGAATTTTCTCCATTTTAAATTGTTCAAAAAAATCATCAAAAACACTCATTCATTTTCTTTGTTTGATTGCTTATTTTCCTAACGCTTTTTATTTGCTAATCATTTCTTATTCAATTTAACACTTCCTCGTGGGATCGACCGTTCAAATTGTACTACAATTAACCGCTTGCTTTTGTACACGTTTGGGCGTAATCAGCGCACGTATCTCAAACTAGGTTTTCGACCGCACCACAACTCTAAGGGTGTTTTAGGAATAGACTTAGATGGTACTCTATTCAGAATGTATGCAGTTGTTCTTAGGGCATAACCTCATAATGAAGTAGGCATTGAAGAATAACTCAACATTGATCTCATCATGTCGAGCAAAGTCTGATTTTTCCTTTCAGCTACACCATTCTACTGTAGTGTAGCGGGTGCAGTTAATTGGGATAGTACACCTTCTTCAATCAAGAAATCCCAGAACTCTTGGTCTAGGTATTCTCCCCCTCGATCTGATCGAAGTATCTTGATTGGTTTACTTAATTATTTTTCAACTTCTACTCAAAATTCTCTAAGCTTTCCAAAAGTTTTGGATTTCCGTTGCATCAGGTAAACAAAACCATATCTCGAATAGTCGTCAATAAAGGTGATGTAATATTCGTAACCTCCTCTAGCTTGGACGTTTAACGGTCCACATACGTCTGAATGTATCAGCTGAAGGGATTCTTTAGCTCTTTCTCCTTTCGCCGTGAAATGCCTCTTGGTCATTTTACCTTCCAGACAAGATTCACCGACCGGATGCTCACCAACTTTTAGTTGGCGTAAAGGACCATCCTTTATCAGTCTTTCAATCCTGATTAGGTTAATATGACCAAGCCTAAGATGCCACAGATATGTGTTGTTATCATGAGAAATCTTTTGCTTTTTATTCTTAGGCTCGGCAACTCTGAACATTTCAGTATTAAGCAGTGAGTTAGGTATTGATTTTATACAATATAAACCATTAGCCAGACGTCCAAAACAAATATTTAAACCATTTCAAGAAATATGAACAAATTCATTATCAAAATAAACTTTAAATAATTGTTCAAATAACTTAGCCACAGAAATCAAATTTCTACGAATGTCTGAAATAAAATAAACATTGTTCAAAACTAAAAATTTATTTTTCCTAAAATGAAGTCTAACTTCTCCCACTGCTTTTGCCAAAACTCTTGCGCCATTGTCCACTTTTATCGTGTAGTCCCCATCGGCTATCTCAGTGTAAGAACTAGGACTCTGAAAAAAAAAAAAAAAAAACATGATCAGTTGCTCCCGAATCAATTATCCAGGCCGAGGCATCACCCTCTACTAAACATGTTTCAAGGACTAGTAAATCTGATTTATCTTGTTCCTTTATCTTTTTCAGCTCCTCAAGATACTGTGACAGTTTCTCTTCCAATGCCCTTCCCCATTGTAGTGGAAACACTTTCCTTTGGGTTTTTGGATGTGGCCTTTAGCCTTCTTAGGTCTCATGTTCTTTCCTTTCTTCCCTTTCCATTGGTTCTGGTTCTTTCTTTTGTTTTTACCAGAGCCTCCTACAACAACAACATTTGCTTCTCCTCCCCTTCTCTTGTTGGTGGATTCAAAGTTTTACAGGTCATTCATGAGTTTAGTGAGGTTGGACTTTTTCTTGTTCATAACAATGTTGTTCACAAACTCATGAAAATCAGGGGATAGGCTTTCCAAGATGATGCCAACTTGGGTGGCTTCATCGATTCTTCCACTATTGAGCTCTGTATCATGGAGGTGATCAATCATGTTCAAAACATGTGCCTTAACCGAAGAGCCTTTCTTCATCTTGTCATTCATGAAAGCCCTCACAGCATCCAAACGAGCCTTTTTTGATGGAGCGCCGAACATGGCTTCTAGAGACTCCATTATCTCATAAGCAGTCTCCATCTCCTCATGCTTCTTGCGAAGCACATCGCTCATGCTGGCCAACATTAAGCACTTTGCTTTGTTGTTGGCCTTGATTAAGCGATCATAAGGCTCCCTTGTGGTTTTGGATGCATTAGCCGCGGGGTCTTGAGGACATTCCTCTACTAGGACAAATTTGTAGTCTTCGCAGACCAATAGTATGTACATGTTACTTTTCCACTTAGCATAGTTATCACCGTCTAGTTTTTCAGTCGCAAGTAGTGTGATAATGGGATTCGACATATTGCTGGAAATAAATAGAATATTCATCTAATCAATTTATGTGCATGAATATCATGGCATGTTAATTTTGGCACAATTAAATATGATGCATGAAGCATATGAAAAATACATAAATCATGTTTTAATTTTAGGTACCAACGATAATCTAATTTTTCACATATAAAGTGTACCTTTGGGTAGTCAAGTTATATGCCAATTAGACCGAGACTCTTCTCAGTTAATAAATATAGTCAAAATATCTCATATTTTCATATTTATTAACTACCGTTATTT